TAGGAGGGCACTTAGAATGTAATATAACCTTTAACAAATTAGTATATAAATATTATTAGTCAAAAATGTGTAATATAATAAAGAAATAAATAAAATATGTGACATATGCTAATGACAAGAAATATCTTGATGATAAGAACCTTTACATCCAATTTTAATTAAACAATCATTTAATTAAATTGAAATTAATTATGTAAGACCTCTATCATAAATAAAGCAAGATAACAGATACATTATTATTGCTACAGAATATTTCACTAAATAGACTGAAGCTGCTACTGTATTTGATTGTACTACTCAAATTACAGTACAATTTATTTTTCAAGAAATTATATGTAGACATAAAATCCTAAAAGAAATATTAATAGATAGAGATATATTATTCTAGTAATGAATTAATAACAGCATTATTACATATTATTAAAATAAAACATCATCTTTCTTCTCTTATCACTATAGATAAATGGATTAACTGAATATTTCAATCAGACCTTGTATACTATTTTAGCTAAGTATATTGAACAACATTAAAAAGAATAGGATATCTATCTCTCATTAGTCTTATTTGCGTATTATACAGTATAACAGAAAATAATTAAACATGAACCTTTTGAGTTATTATACAGATAACATGCTATACTACTTATAGATTTTTAAATATCACAACTTATTATAATACAAAATTTATCACAAATAATAGAACAATATTATTGTCTTTTAACAATACAATTATAATAATGTTCACATGATGTATAGCAAAATATCTTATAATAATAATAAATTAAAAGTAATATTATCACTAAACACATAAGGCATAAATTATCAAATTGAAGATAAAGTACTATTATTTAATATTTTATAATCACATGTATATGAGAATAAATTTAAGGATAAGTTTGATAAATTATTTTACATTTATAATATTATATGACCTGATACATATAAATTGTAAACATTAGACAAAAGAATTAGAAAAAATCTTGCATATGCTGATTAGTTTAAACTTTATTTTGAAAGGATTAATTGAGAATCTCAGATTATCATCATAGATCAGCAAACCTAATATTATAAATATAAAGTTTATACAAACTAAAATCTGTAAGAAAAATAATAAGTACTGCTATTGATGATCTTATCTTATAAGAATTACAAAGGATCTTAGTTCAAAACTTACCTCTTGAACCACTAAAGCCTTATATTAAGAACATGTCTTATACTGAGAAAGTTAAATGTACTTACTAAGCCTCTTAAGAATACGTTATATGAAGAACTGTATTTGAATTTTAATAAATGCTTTCTTTTTAAGACGATAATAATATAATGCTTACATAAAATACCCTTTAAAATGAAATGATTATTGCATATTACTACCAATATTTAATTTATATATATTTTCTTTTTGAAAATTTAGGAAGTAAACAAATTTTGAATACTTATTTTTTGATATTGACTTGAATTAAGCAACTTAAATTCAATGAATACTAAAATCTCCTTAACTGTACTTTAGAAATTCTGTTAAATAGTCAATATTTATATTAAAGTTGTCATCTATCTAATTAAAAATCTTCTCCTCATTATTTTTTTCTATCTCAACATGAATTGAAATAGAAATCTTAAGAAAAAGTAATATGATTGGGTGTTGATCTTGATAATCATCGATCTGTAAATATATGATAAAGTACAGAATGTTGAAAATATCAACATATTAAACATATTTAACATATTTAATATAGTTAATTTGTTTAATATATCAGATATGTTTAATATAATTAATATAGTTAATATATTTGATATGTCAACATATGTAATAGAATAAATATAAATACAAGCTCTTTATAAATTAGGAAAGATAGACTGATGGCTATATAGAATCTTTCTTATAAAAGATAGTATAATGCTACTCTTTCATTTTGTATACTTCTCTTGTTTATTTTATTTTTTTATTTTATTATATATTATTATTTTATTATTTTCTTTCTATTTAATAAAGTATTTTTAATTTTCTATTGCAAATCTTTCTGTAATTATTATGCAAACTTTAATCAATAATTAAAACTGTTCTTATTTAGTAAACTTACTTCAATTTGATATAAGTTAATAGTAAAATAACTAAGATTAACGTAAACTAATTAAAATTCTACGTAAATTATAAAAGTGTCAACTCTCTAACATTATGTCTAACAGTTGCAACCTAAAAAAATTGCATACTATAGAAATATTTATTAATTCTCTTATTGCTTATATAACATTTAATACATTTAATGACAGATTAAAAAATAATATTCACTTTTATTTTATACTAATAGTTCTCATAGATTTTTATCTGATCACACTGATCTCATTTTATACTTTAATTTTGTTTTTATCCTAATACATAACAAATTTTACTAATGCAAAGATTTTTGCATCATTTTTAGTTCTTTTAATTTGCTTTATAAATTAATTTTAAATATATGTATAGATAGTTTATCATTTATCTACTCCTTTAACAAAATTTAAAGATAGAATACTTTCATATATTCTTTATTAATACTCAAACTCCCTTTTAATATATATTGGTCTATAATTTTTAAAGTCATAGAAAAAAGAAATATCACACTTTTCTTTACTAAATTATTACATATTCTAATGATTCACATAATAAGTTAATCAATTAACTAAATTTTTCTTAATTTTGCCTCTCTTTTAATCACTTTTAATCATATTTCTTATTTTTAATATATTCTATTCTTTAAATATATACTTATTTTTACTGTCTTTACTCTTTAAATTAAAGATTTCTTATAAACTAAATACTTTATAGATTATTATTTATTAAAACGAAACAAAAAAATATATAAATTTAAAAATTAACTATTATCTTACCTTTCAATTTATGAAACTTAATTTTTCTAATAATATCATTTAAAGAGTTAAAGGCATACTATAGAAGAATAAAACTTTATTAAAACAATTATCTATATTAGAATTCTTAAAAGTTGCACATCCATCTTTATATAATTATTCTTAGAAATACTATAGATATAATATATCAAATGAAATATTAATTATATATAATTATATTCTATTATTATACTATTAATAAAAATATTATTATTAATTCACTTTTTCTTTAAAAGTATAACTTTACATTCATATTTTTCAATTTAGTTTTTCCTTTAAAGTCTCAGTTCTTCTTTTATCTTTTTATATCTTTTAAGCATTAAAAGCTAATCTGTACAATATTACTTTTATTGGTTTCATAAAAAGCATTATTGCCTTCACCTTTTTAAAAATTATTGACTTATTTACAAATTCCTTTACTATTACTTATACTATTCTTTTTTTATTTTATAACTTTTTTTTCAATCAAACTTATAATCTTATATAAAAATTAAGATATATACTGATTATTTCAAAAAAATAATCTTTTCATATTTTACAATATAACAAAAAAAGAAGGTTATGTTTCTTCTAATTATTTCCCTAGGAATAGTTTTATTAATAATTCTTTTTTCTTTAACTACCTTCAGTGTAACTATTTATTTCTAATTAAAATTTGTATATACATCAATTATTCTTTTTAACGCAATAATAAACTATTTGTCATATATTTTTTTTCTTTTAATTAGTAATAATAGTAATTCTACTAGTGATTATTACTAGAGTCTAATGAAACAACTGGTTAGTCTAGTAAAATTTGGGTTTTAAACTTTTTGTTTTATTAGGAAACTTTTTTTATTTTTTTATTTCTGTATTTTTTTAGAGGATTTTCATATATATTTATACTGATTATGATTATACTTAATAAATAAAAGCATTACTGCGGGTTTTTTTAAAAAAAAAAGGTGATTTAATTAGCTTAAATTTTAATATGTTATTCTTCAAAATTATATCTTATATGTATTAAAATTTGATGAAATTATAATTGGTGAATTTTGAAAAACACAATGTTAAAAATCGTATTCAAAACTTTTGACTAGGATTTGTAATATTATTTTTTATTTTTATATTATATAGCTTATTTATATTATTATATTTATTTTATGTATTTATTTTAGATATAATTTTTTTTATAAAATATATTTAATTAAGATACTTTACTGAAAAATATTTATATATATTATAAAGTATTAATTTAAATAGTATTTATTTATTATTTGTTTATTATACATATTTTTTAATCTTTAACGTTAATAACTTATAAAAAATTGATTATAATAATATTCTATTACTAAGTTAATATTCATAATTATAAATTTATCTGAAAATTTTTTTAAATATACTTTTTTTAGTAAAATTATATTATAAATTATTTTAACTATTATAATCTTAAATTATTAATTATATTATATTTTTAACATAATTTATGAAAATTATTTAAAAATCTATAATATAATTAAAATTACTTGTAATATGATATATTAAAAAATAAAAAATAAAACTATTTAATGGTTAGATTGCTAGAAAATCAAATTTTTTTAACAAATTAAGATTTTAATTTTTACAATCTTTCCATATATTTAAAATTAATAATTATTTATTTTAATATTAAAAAAAAAAGTAAACTATATTTTTAAAATACATAGAACCTTGAAAAAATGATATCTTTTATTAATATTTATTAAATCAACTTATCGAAATTGATTTTAGAAAATTGATGTATTTTATTTGAACTTCTATTATCTAAATTTATAAAATAAATGAATTTTTTAAGGTTTATCGGAAACTAATGTCGCGTATATTTCGGATTAGGACTAGGTAGGCTTTTCCCGAAACTTTTAAAATAGGACGGAAAAATTGTTAACGCGTATACTCATTGGACTGCGCCACATACCCACAGCCCCATCATAAACTTTAATTACCTAAAGCTAAAAAGTATCATTAATCCTTGAAAATTATTTCTTTTATTAAATATTACCATCTCATCAGAACAATAATAACGTCCTTACTACTTAAGTAGGTTGATTATTCTCAATCATTTTGGGCTTATTAAATTCTTAGACATAGATTTTGTAACTATGAGTTATAGAAGAACAACTTTATTTGTTGCTGGCTTTGGATCTCAAATTAGAGCTAGAGATCTGGCATATGAATTTGAAAGGTTATTTTTTTTTTTTGTTTTTTAAAAAAAAAGATAAATTTATTTTCTTTTTCATCGATCTTAAAAGATAATTTTGATAGAAGAACCTCTTTAATTTATATAGATACGGCCGGCTAATTCGTTGTGATATTCCTGCTCCAAGAAGTTATCAATCAAAACCGTAATTATCTCTGTTTTGAATCATATTTTTATAATTTCAATATATATTTCGATACGTATATTCTTAATTTTATTATATTTAATTAAATTCCATTTTCAGTTATGCTTTTGTTGAATTTGAGGACGAACGAGATGCGGAAGATGCTTATTATGAGATGCATGGTCGTAGAGTATATGGACACGCTCTGAATATTCAGGTTTGGATTATTATTAATTGATGCATTTTCAATAGATGTTTTGAAAATCACATATTATTTATTATTTATTTGTAGTGGGCCAAAAACGCTCCTTCTAGATCTTGGCGGTATGAGGGAAGTAGTCGAAATTCACCGCGTCGAAGTCGCCGATCGCCGTCGCCGGCACGTTATAGAAGACGACGTTCTTATTCACGTTCTCCTAGCCGCACCCGTTCTCGATCTCGTGGACGTAGCCGTTCTCCTCGTTCTGATCGTCGTAGTCGTTCAAGATCCAGAACAGTTGAAAGAGAACGAACTACTAATGGTGAAGAACGACCGGCTGATGACAGAAGGTCCAGATCTATATCACCAACAACTAGAGACGATACTAAACGTCGTGATTCTCGTTCACCTCCTCGTCCTCGTGAAGAAGCTAGAGAAAGATCTACAAGCCCAAATGATCGTAATGGCAATGGCACTTCTCGTTCTCCATCAAGGAGTCCACCAGCACGTCTTTCGCAGTCTAGAAGTCCCCAACGGGATTGAATTGAATGACTATACAGCAACAAAGGCCTACCATCATCAATAAAGCGGAGAATTCAGTGAATTTATACAGACTTCGTTTGCCATGTAAAATCTTCTCTATATTTACTTTATAGCTCTTGATTTGCAAATGATTTGAATAGCCCATGTATTCTGTTCATTATCTTTTTATACCTTTTTTTTTTTTTATTATTTCCTTTTTTCCCTTATTTTGGGCAAGTCATGTTTTGGGGCTCGATGAAATTTTATTCTTGTCAATGCTTAATTTTCTATTATGTTTGAATATTATCAAATATTTTCAAAAATGATTCTTCATTGGTTATTTTCAAATTTAAAAAAGTGTGCAGTTATCGGTAGCGGATCGGAACGGTCGGTCGCAAGGTTGTACTTTTCGCGGTGGTTTCCAAATTGACATTTCATCCATATAAACGAGAATTAGACCTTACCTCTATCTCGCACAAACAATTTCCGATATCGATGCGACTCGAAAGTCTTTCGAACGCTCTGTACATCGAGTCTATTCCTTACCATCACACATCGCATACCATCCAAACGACCACCGTTTCCCATCAAGTGTTATATATAATAAAGTATTTGCTTATATTTTTAGTTTTAAGTAAAAAAAAAAAAAAAAGAGAAGAAAAAAAAAAAAAACTTATTCTAACAATGTTACCTTCAGCATATGGGAAATACCTTCCCTTTAATCGTTGTCGTTCCTTACGAGGTCTACTTACGATAAACCACTATTTCCACTCGAATCAACAAAGAATCTATCCGAACCAAATTTGCCCAAATTCATATATATTATCTATATATTATGAAATTTCAAAAGAAATAAAAGAAACAAAAGATATATTTAAAATATTAGTATTGATTGCCCGACCTACAAAGAAGAAATCAAATGCAGATATCTCTTCGAAAAGTCCGAGTTCCTCAATCGGCCTTCAGCTGATAAGTATACCTATCATTAAAAGAGTGATAAATTGCTGCCATAAGTAATTTTGAAAGGCACAATATTAAATTTTTGTTGATGAGTCCAAGCACAATTCATGCAAATCATCTTTTTAAAACAAAGGAATTATCTTATTTCTTAGAAATGACTAACTGACAAATGAAAACCCATGCACTTGCATTAAACGAATTTTATCCAGCTAAGTGTATTTATATCATTCTCTTTATTACTTTATATTAAATATTATCTTATTTTATTAAAAATCCTCTTATTCAACAGATAAATAACAATAGGTATTAAAATTATAGTCTGATGTAAAATTAGGGAGATAATGGTAAAATTTTTCTCCTTTTTTTTTTTCTTTACGAAAAAGATTCTTTGAAAATCAAAAAAAAAAAAGATTTATTATTATTTATTTATTTATTTATTTTTATTTTATTTTATATTATTGAAAACACAACAAATTATATATTAATTAATCTTTAAATAAATTGAATTTTCAATGAATTTATTTTATCGCTATTTTAAACATTTTTAAATTTTTTTCCTTTTGCGACATAAAAAAAAAACATATGCCTTTTTTTTTACTTTTGTAATAATATTGATCTTAAGCTTTTTGAACAGCAGATCTTCTTTTCTTAATATCAGCTTTTCTCTCTTTTTCTTCCTTTACTCGCTTAGCAAGTAAAACAGAATATTCCTCAGCAGCCTTTTTTGCAGCTTTAGCTCTTCTGCGTTTAAGAGAAAGACGATGACGTTTACGCTGTAGAGTAAGAGGAGTTACCAGGCGCTGAATTTTAGGAGCCTTTGTATAAGTCTTTTTATCCGGATTTTTTGGGGTAACTTCACGACGGATTACAAATTTACGAACATCATCTTCCTTTGATAAGTTCTATATTTAAAAATTAGATTAAATATCAGTGATCAAATATGTTAAAAAAAAGTAGAAGATAATTTAAATAACTCACAAAAAACTTGCGAATTCTTGAAGCTCTCTTTGGACCCAAACGTTTCGGAACGGTATTGTCAGTTAATCCAGGAATATCAACTTCTCCTTGTTTGACTATAACCACCGATAATACTGCCAGATCATTTCCAACAATACAACCTCGAACTGATTTTCTTTTACGTTCACCGGTGCGACGAGGTCTATAACAAGAATGACCTTCAGATAATAAAAGTCTTACACGATCATTACGTAATACACCTTGCTTCATAGGAAAGCCCTGCTTATCATTTCCACCAGATATACGAAATACATATCCTTTAAATTCGTCCCCAAGAGAATCTCCTGGAACTTCAGCGCTTATACGTTTTTCATAAAATACACGCCTGATATAATCATTTATTAAATTTTTTACATTAATATAATATAATTTTTATTGGAAGTACTAGTTTACGTGATTAGATTTGAAAATTTTGATCTTTTACTCACAGCTTACGTTCATCGTCAAAATCAATCAATTTCTGACAACCAGTAGCTGGGTTGGCGATGTTCAGCTAAAGAGGAAAATGAAGTAAATATAAAAATACAATGAATCTAAATTAATTTCTTTGGAGTCGATATTGATTTTATAGATTTAAATATGGAATAAACTTTTTTATAATGGATGGATATTTTTTTTTTTTTAAAAAAAAAAAAAAAAAAAAAAAAATCCTTAATAAATACTTTTTCGCAAAGATATGAATTTTTTCGTATTACATGTCTATTCGATAATCCTAATTTTTAAAACGCATTAATGAAAATAAAGAAATGAACCTTACCTTCATTGCTATTAAGCTATACCTTGATTAACTGAACAATTTTAAAGAGGAAGTTCATTCGTGTTTTGAATAATTTTAGATTTTTATTATTTTTGAGATATTACGTCATCGATTTTTTTTTAGGTGATATGATTTGTGTCACGGATGTTACTTTAATATCTAAAAATTTATTTACCTACAAAAAACTCTTTTTACAGAAAGTATGACACGAGAAACAAAAATTTCTGAAAGTGAGACTCCTACTAAGGCCGTTCTGGAAACGAATCCCAGAGGTATTCCTAAGGTTCAATTTGTAGTATGTATAAATTTCAATGAATTTCGCATAACCTTTATTTGTGATTGTTCGCGCTTTCTCTTATTCACCTGCTTCTATCTCATATAGGAAAATGTTGAAGAGGTTATTGGTAAAACTTCAGCGCCAGTTGAGGTTACTCTGAGTAAATTCCAGGAAACTGTCGCGTAAGCATTCGATGATTTTTTTTTTTTTTAAAAAAAATAATTTAAATTTTAATTATCTGCAAATAATTAGAAAATATAAGTTCATGGAAATCAATTTCCTTAACCGAAAGAAGGCCCTCGAGTTAAAAATACCTGAAATCAATAAGACTTTAACAGTTGTAGAATTCTTGATATCAAAACAAGTAAATTCAACATTAATTAAATCCTGCAAATTGAATAATGTTTCATTCTATCATCTCTATTATATAGGATTCCAATGAGCCTATAGAGACAACATTTGAATTGAGTGACACGTTGTGGGCTAATGCTAAAGTCAAATCTACAAAAACTGTTAATTTATGGCTTGGGGTGATTTTTTTTTTATTAATGTCTTAAGTAATAATTGCTAATTTCCACAAATATTTATTAATTACTTGATTAATTACAGGCCAACGTGATGCTCGAATATACATTACAAGAAGCAAAGGAGCTACTTGAAGGTAAATTGGCTACAGCTCAAACTTCACTGAAAAATGTATTGGAAGATTTGGAATTTTTACGAGAACAAGTTACTACAATGGAAGTTAGTATCCTTTTTAACAAAATAAAAAGAAGGTAAATCAAATATTTTTTCACGTTCGTATTTATGCCTTAACTCATCTCTTTTCAAAAGATATTGCACGTGTATTTAATTGGGACGTTAAAAGACGTAGAACATTAAAGGCAACTAATACCGCTTAAGTCAGTTAAAGAATTAATCGTTATTATTACATTGCATTACAGTAATATAGAATTTTCATTTATCTGATTCTGCCTTACTTCATTCACTATTAATTATATTATTGTATATTAGGTGTCAAATCATTATTGTATTAATCTAGTAATTTCGCTGTTAATTTATGAGAAGTAAAAAGGAAGAATTAATAAAGTTGTTAAATTTCATGTACTAAGTCATTTGGTATCATATACTTATTAAATAAGTAATACTTACGATCATGAATAGTAGTAGAATATGTTGATCGTTGCCTTATTTTCGGAGGTAAAGTTTGTTTAATCTGTATCAATGTCAATTCAAAAATTAGTTATTATGTATTAATTTGTAATTTTACTAAAATTATCGTTTTAATGAATATTAACTTTTAAGGATTCGGAATCGAATTCTATTTGGATAGCAGCGAGCGTTCCATCGAATCTATTAAAAAAGTTTAATCGAAATTAATGATTGATATTATTAAAGAATCAAAGGGTTATTAAATAATAAAAACCTGTTTTTCTTAATGTCTAATAATCTTATTTCACCAGTATCTGTTTCCACTTTTTGAAGGATTATAACATTATCCGCTTCTTGTGTCACTTTAGCTGTTCCAAATATAGAGTTAACATCTAACATATTTTTATCATCTTTTCTTGGATGAACGACAAGAGTAATATGCACGTTTCTTTCAGTAGCAACCCTTCGTAAGGATGATAAGATCCGGTCATGTAATTCCCAACGATCTATATACCTGCCTTGATCTGCTGTCATGAATTGTAAATTATCAATTACAACATGTTGAACATCAAAAGCATGAATTGCATGATCCATGGCATCAGTTACTGTGGACATGTCAGTACTTCCATAAAATTTAAGGAAATACATTGGAAGCTAATAATTAGTCACAAAAAAAATTCAGATCATTTTTGTTTTTAGAAAAAAAAAATTAAATAATTGAATAAGTAAAATAAACCGAATTTACTTGTTGAAATCTTTCTGCCAGATTATTAAATTCTGTAGTATCTTTTGATAAATCTTTTCCAGCGAATTGCTGCAACATTTTTTTTGCCAAACGTACATTCGGTATTTCAAAGCTACCCCATAATGTACTAACTCCTTGTTTACAATAATCGAGCGATAATTGGCTCAAAATAGTCGTCTTACCCGTACCTGTTGGTCCGGTAAATATAGTAATTTCACCAGGTCGATGTCCTTTAAGAATTTTATTTAATCCTGGAAGATCCTTTGATTCTATACCACGAGCTTGATTAGGGTTAGAAATCTCACGATATACCGCGTCCTTAAGATTTTCAAAATCTATAATCTGATCGTGTTGTAACGGTTTTGATCTATTAAGGATTTCTTTTAAATCCTGACCTGTCGCTATCGCTTGATTTGCATTAATTGGTCCATCCAATTTTCCGCATCGCGTACTCACAATCATGCATCGGTCAATTCCTAACTTTTGAGCAAATTTTTCTGCCGCAACTTGACCTTCTACATCATCATCAAGCCAAAGATAAATTTTAGAAAATCGTTCAAGTAAAGGAAGAATTTCTAAAGGTAGTTGATATATATTGGAAGGAAGACATGTTGCTGGTATTTTGGTTTCTTGATAAGCGGCCATTGCATCAAATTCGTTTCCCGTCAAAATAATGTCTTCACTATCTAATGATGCTAAATGATATCCAAAAAGACCCGTTACAAATGATGGTGGATCAAACGCGACCAATTCATTATTTTCTATTGAACAAGCTTTAATTCGAGTAATCTTTGTATTTAAAAAGTCATTTCTTTTCAACTCATCAAAAGATGGCGCTGTTCTTGGAAACGTAAAGCACATTTCATCAGTCTTATAAGAAACATTTGAGGATGGATTATTATTATGATATCTTGCAATTCCCACTTTGAATGCTTCAAGTGTTTCTAAAGATATACCATATTTTTTTGTACATTTATCAATCAAATCAGAATCATTTAGTAATTCATTTTGAAATCCTTCAATTTCATGCTGAGACCTTGAAAAAGTAGAACGACCACCCATATTCAAACTTGTTGTATTGATGATATTGTATGATTCGGATTTTGATATTAATTGCATATATTCACCCCAACAACCCTTTTTCATGCAAACTTTACAATTATAAATACCACTTTTTAAATCAATAATGGCCGTATAAAATTTATTTTTTGTTTGACGACAATTAGGGCATTTGATTCGTCTCAATTCATTGTCACTAGTAGATTTAGGAAATTGAAGATATCTATGAAGAAATTCCAACACCTCTCCTTGTTTAGGAATATAATATTTTGATATAAAATTAGAATTGATGGTACTATCTTTCACTCTATTAAAATCGCGCGACAAGTTTGATTTTGTCTGCACTTCTGTCGCTAAACTTTTCATAATATTACGTGATAACAGACTATTAGGTGTTTTTTTGAAGCTGCCTCTAGTAATATTGTAAAAAGGTAGAAAATAACGCGACATTTCGAAAATCTATAAGTTTAAAAAAAGAAGAAAAAGGAGCAAAAAAAAATTTTTAACCATAACTGATAATCCGACGCGTTTTACGCACATATATATGATAAAACAGGTAATCTGAACATCCCTTTTTTAAAAACTTAAAATTTAAAATGTTACTATACTATATAGAACAATCAATATAAATCTGAAAGAGATAATAATGATTTATCTATATCATTCTAAATGGCCTGGAGCGCAGTATCATTTTTATCGTTGTCGTTGTTCTTGTCGTTTATTATTGTTGTCGGTAAAGAAAGATTTTGAAAAAAAAAAAAAAAAGAATCGTAACTAGCTTAACAATGATACATTTGCATATGTTAATCTTCTTGATAATGGTATCGGAATAATTTTTTTTTAAGCCATGTATAGAAAATCATGGGATCCGGTTATAAAACCGGCTGATTATACAAATTTTAAACAAATAATGCATGCAACACAAAGTATTATGTGATCGAAATGTCAATTTTTTTTTTTGCTATTATACTTATATAGTTAGATTCTAGGAATTGTGGACAAAATTTAGACTTTTCTAATCGGCAATTTAGGAATTATCAAAAGGACTTTTACAAAAAGTAAAAAAAAAAAAAAAAAAGGGTACAGAAAAAAATAATTTCACAATGAATCTAAAAACTATGACAATATACAGCAAGAGAAATAATATATAGACAAACACACATTATTAATTATTTCAATCATAAATCACCAGGATACATAATACTCTCCAAATCTTTAACCACTACATGATCTATATATGGAGTGAATAACGCAAGTAATAATTGTTCATTATATACAAGAAAACATTCCTCATTTCCTTTGGCTAAGACCTTTAACATCTCCATAGCTCTTCTAGCTAACATAATACAATCCTCATCACGATTATCACGGATACCTGCTAACGCTATTGCCATTCTAAGCATCCTATTTATAAACCCAGGTGTAGAGATTATTTTCTTCCTCATTCCTTCCCCACTCAGGCATACAAAATTATAAAATGCCATAACTAAAGTTGCTAAATAAGGTAATTCTTGAGCCATTAGACGCCCTCCTCCACCGTGAATGATATTTTCTATCTTTGGAAGCATTTGTATCAAACAGTTAAAAAAATATGTTAATGTAGATTCATCGCATCCACCAATCCGTTGTCTATTATCGTACGAGACGGACAATTTAGCAAATACTTCTAATGCAATTTGAGAATAATAATCATCCATGCTATCCATAAAATCACCAATTAAAGTTAATAAATCTCTTGCGACATAAATAGATGGTAAAGGTATATATGCAGCAATGTTTGATAAAATAATTAAAACACTCTTGCGTAATTCCAAAATATAATACGCTTTTTTTCGAATAACTTTTATACGATTAGCTTTATCTTTCATATAAGTATCTTTCATATAATTATCGTCACATCCAATATATAAAATCCGCATGAGAACTGCCAAGAATCGAGGATGTGCAGCAAGATATTCCTGATTCTCAAAATTGAACGAAAAATTCCTTATCATATTTGTTACACACCAACATTGTTCATGAAGTGGCAACCATTCTTCCGAAATGGAATCTCTTAATGCAAATTCTTCACACTCTTGTTTAGATAATTGATATAATTCTCGATATGATTTGAACTTTCGTTGTGATATTATGCTTTCTTCTGCTATTTCCTCATTATTATTAAGAGATACATAATCAACGTATTCCAAAATCATATCAAATAATACATCAATTAAATCTCCACATTGCTTTAACTCTAACAAATTTTTATGTGATAAAGTGGTTAATGTATTAAGAGCGTTTGTAACTTCCAGTTTCATACCACATTTTAATGACATTGTAAGAGCATGTACGTCTACAGCACCTTTTAATAAACGATTAAAGTAAGAAATTTTGATTAGTCACAAATAGACTTGTAATTTAAATAATAACTTAAAATTACCTAATTCTTGAATCCCAGGAATAGTCAAAGGCAAATTAAACTTTTCAAAAACTCTCAAATCAAGACCACCGTAACTGTCCACCTTTCTTGTTTTTGGAGCATAATTTACCTTTTGAGGCTTAGATTTTGTCGATGGTGTTGAAGTTGTTTGGTCAGTAACTGATGAGGATGCTGAAGGTAAATTGTCTGATACAGATGTAGTTTTCTCGGCTTGTCGAGACACTTGACGAGAATTAATGTTCCTACGTCCAGCTATACCACTACTAACGGGTAAACGAAGGTTAGGTGTAGCGTTTTCAGCAATACTGCTTTGAGCAATATTTCCAATTTGATTAGAAGGCTGCTGTTGTTGCTGATTATTATTATTGTTATTATTATTGTTATCATTATTGTTATTATTATTAAGCACATTAGTAGGTATCTCTGCGTTAAATGGTTGTGAAGTTTGTTGATGTTGGGAAAAATTTGTTATAGTTGGGAGATTGTTAATATCTTTAGGGTTATCTGTAGAAGAGGTCAATCTTGACGGCATAGAAGTCGCTTGAACGTTCGCATTAAATGAATTCGGATTATCATTAGAAGGAAGAATCGACGACGATTCACCTTGATGTTCTTGTGATGCTATACGTTGCATAGGTTCTATATGACTCATAAATGGATTAGATTTCAACGAAGTTAGCGTCGCAGATTCTATTGTTGATCGTGGCGACTGGTTATATTGATCAACGATTGCACTCTGAATAACAGAATTAGATGTTATTTCTGGTGATATCGAAGACCGTGTTGATGATTGAGAATAATTTGATATCATTGAATTCGAAGTTGACAAATGATCTTTTGAAACCATTTTAGAAAATTGTCCTATTTGTGACACTGTTTGACTCTGATTTTGATTACCATAAATCAATGCCTGACTACTAGAATCAGATGACGGAATAGGCGAACGGGGTAACATTCCTAAAGAATTATTTTGAATATTTTTTGGAGACAAATTTTGTGAAATATTGGAAACGTTATTTGTTGACAAAGAAATAGAAGAATAATTATAACCCGTTTCTTCTCGTTGTTGCGATGTTTGCGTAATTTGTATCGGCTGCGAATGATGTTGTTGTTGTGATGGTGGTTGTGGTGTTGATTGTCGTTCTTGTTGCTGCTCTGATATTGTTTGCAGTTGTAATTGTTGATCGTCGTGTTGCTGTTGCGGCGATTGTTGAAGACTACTTTGGTTAATTGAAGAATATGATTTTATATTTTGAGGCGCATAATTCAAATTGCTTATAGAACTGGAATTCCAAGCTTGTATATTGCCACTAATTCCACTTGAATTATTCGTGAAATCTGGTGAACAATTAAAATCATATACAATATCGTCTTCATCTCCCAAATCTAACCAATCTACCTGACTGTCTTCTTGTTGAATAGAATTATGTATCGCTTGATTTGATTGTTGTGGATGTGGGGATTGATTTTGATTTAACAGATTATTAAAATTATTTCCCATGGACTTTGCTTGCAATTGAAGGTATTTATTTAGATAAGCGGATTTACTATCCATGTTTTGATTATCAGTATTTACAAAAGACTGCGTAGGAACCGTTGACCTTCCAGCATTTATTATTTGTTGACTAGGAAAACCCGTATAAAGTTGATTCTGACCAGGAGTCTGTCCTATATTTGAAAAAAGTGTTGGAATAGGAGTTCCTGAGCCTAATGCAACTCTTTTTGTTGCTGATCTACCATTTGCTGTCATGGATGCTACTGAGGCGACAGGTACTTGGTATACAGGACGACTAGGGATTGACATCATTGGATTGAGGCCAGTACCTTGTTGTAAATATGCCGTGTTAGCTGTCATATACGGTTGAGGATATGCAGCAGCACTCATTACCGTTGCTGGTCCTTGAGGATTCCCATAAGGAACACGGTTCTGTTGTTGTTGACGTTGTTGATATAAACTTGGATCCATTGATCAAATGATATTTGCTCTAAAGACAATAATTGATGGTATTTCCCAAGTTATAATCAAATATGCATATTACGTTACACGAGTTATGCATTTGGGTAATACGATTTTCAATAATTTGATGTCATCAATTTACGTGAATTGAATTCTATGGATATTATTGGATGATATATGATTTGCTTATTACGATGTTTCATTTAAGCTTTTCTTATTATTATTTTTATTATTTTCATTTTATTTTGATATTAGTCTTACCAAAATTTATTATTATTTAATATTTGTAAATAATTGTTATATTATATTTTTTACTATAAATTTATATGTTTAAGAATAGTATTCTTGAATTTGTAACATAGTAAAATTTATTATTTAATATATATTAAATTGTTAAATTAATTTATAATGTTTATAATATTTTATATAATAACTTATATTAAATTATATTACAAATTATAATTTATTTTATTTTATTTATTTAATAATAATCAACTCATATTATAATATTAAAAATATTATTTATATATATTCTAATAATTTAAATTTAATAAACATTATAAAAAATTTTATATTTTAATTTAAATTATAAATAAATAAATTAATTATAATAATACAACTTGATAAAATTTATATCTTAATAATATAAATTAATTATAATATTAATTTTTAGATTATTTAGTAAGCAATTTTATAATTTTATCTACAAACTTAAAAAAAATTATTAATTTTAGTAATATACTAATCATATGAAAAATATATATTTTAATATATATGTTATCAACTTTATTAGAAGATATCTTAAATTTTAAGAAGTTTTTAAAATAATTCAATTTTAAAATTTAAGTTTAAAATTTTATTACACTAATTTCTTCAAAATTCATATGTTTATAAATTAAATAAATCTAAATCACTTTATTATTAATAAAAGTTATAAAATTTCTTAATAAAATATAAAAAATTAAACTAATTAAAATTATCCTTTATAATAAATTTATAATATTATATTATAATTAATAGTCTAAAAGTAAATATTAATAAGATTATCAAAGGTTAATGATAAAATTTTTT